TTTTTTTCCTTTGTGGTGTCATTAGTTATTGTCCCTCTCTCGGGGGGAGTCCATGTTTACCCAGCACACGCTCTGAGGTGCCACTGAGGGAGTTGCGCCCCGTTGTCACCACGGCAACCAAAAAAGACGCAGCCAACCTCCTAGATGTCACCTTCAAATGCAGCCTGCACAGACGTGAGTCAGCTGACAGACGACGAGGAGTGAAGGACAGGTTGGTTTCTAACACTCGGTCAGAAACCTCCTCGTCCAGATGGTGTGGACGAAAGAGAGAACCATCAAATGAGACAAGGTTCTAGGTCACCTAAACTCCACTGAACTGAACCTGCAGGAATCCAGGAGAACCTGTCATCGTCTGAATATCCTCCAGAAAATCACTTCTAACCTTTTTAAACTCTAGGGCAGAAGGAATTTCTTCAACGTTAAAACCAACACTAAAAATTCAAACGTCCATCCTTCTTTGTCTGCTTATCTGTAACCAGGTCACGGGGGCAGCAGTCTCCATGACCGCTACCCAAATACCAAGCCCCCTGAACCCTGAGCCCACTAGAAGGTACCAACCGCCCTAACCGGGGTTCGATCTTGCCCAGGAGGTTCAACCTGACAGAGACATTGACTCTGGGCCAAAGCAAATAATTAATAATTAAAAAAGGTTTGGTGTAGAACCAGGTCGACTTCTCCATCCTCATACCAACTGCTTTGAAAAAACACTATAAAGGTCAAAGGTTGGGGTAAAGACTTATTTTGTGTGTGTGTGTGAGAAAGAGAGAGAGAGAGAGGCTGAGTCTTCAGGGACCTCTATAATAATGAGAGCCTCTGTGACTTGTTTTCATGACTTACTCATTGCACTGGTGACATCAGCACGACACAACACACGCACATCAACACACGCACACATCAACACACGCACGGATGCACAGTGTGACATATCAGAGACAAGCAGATGATACATAACTATGTGGGCGTTCATGAAGAAAAATATAGAAAGATTCCTCTCAGAGGAGAAGTTGATGCACGGAGAGGAGGAGGAGGAGGAGGATGAGGAGGGAGTCGGTGCCAGCTACACCCCACATGAAACTAAATTTAAACTCACTCTCATCTTCTTCAGAGTGTGTATTTGTACAGTAGGTGTGTGTATCCATTTTCATCCGTGGTATAAATGTGTTCATTTTATTCAATCAGCCTCCTGCCCTGCTTTCAGTGAAGACGTTATTTGAACACCTAATGTGAAGCAGCTTCCTGGATGTTAACACAGGATTAACTGTTGAGTGAAGTGATTAACTGACTCCTGTGAGGGTTATCATGACACGGAATAGAACAGAATCAAACAGAGAAGCAGCTCAGGAGTCAAACTGAAAAAAACCACACGCGTACATTTAAAATCTCCAAAAGATTAAGAAGCTGATGTTCACGCTCATTTGATACCAAACTACCGACCAAGACTGGTCCATGAGCCGTTAGTTTGACACATGAATAGTAGATAAGACTGATCGACGCTGGAACCAAAGTCAGTAAAACTGAAAAAACCTGCTCCACCTCCACCTCCACCTCCACAGGACGGTCCAGGTCTGCACCGCAACAACGCCACATCAACCACCAACAGTCTTCATGGTGTTTGGAAAAGAGCAACAAACAAGCCCGAGGTAAAGAACACACACACACACACACCCCACCATATGCTAACAAATGCAGAACGTCTTAATAAAACATGTTGTTGGTTCTTTGTTAAACTTTAATAGTTCTGTTCTTCAAGATTAGCCCAGATGGACACACATTTAGGCCATTTCACCCTCACTACACCACAGTGTACTACACCATACTGCACTCCACTCCACTACACTCCACTACACCACACTATACTACAGTACACTAAACCACAGTACACACAGCTTTCCCACTGCTTCTTCTTATTTCCCGTACTTCCTTCTATCCCACTTGCACTCCACAGAATTCCATTAGCAGTGACTCAAACAAGTCCTCACTCCCTTCTCTGCACTCTGTCATTTTCCTGTGTTTTCTCTTGTTTTTCCTCCCCCTTCCATTTCTCTTCTCCCACAGGACCTCACAGTCATCAGATTTTTATACCCGTGTGGAATGAAAATAGATGGAGGGGGAGATGAGAAGAAGAGAGGCGAGGAGAAGAAAGGAAAGGAGAGGAGATGAGGGGAAAATGATAGGAAAATGATAGGAATGTAGATGGGAGAAAAAGGAAGAAGAGAGGAGTAAAGGATAGGACACTGTGAGTGGAGAGAGGGAAGGAGTGATGATGAGACCAGACAAAGGAGCGTCTAGGAAAGGAGAGGAGAGACCTTGGCAAATGTGGCTTTGAATGATAGACTGAGGGTAATTTGATGAAATATTTATGTTGCTGGGAGGTTTGACTGCTGGTCACTGCCATCACCGTGCGTGGATACATGCTAGTCTGTGTCTCAGACCAAGAGAAGCATCGCACCAATCACAACGGTCGCCTTTTATTTATGTGGATAAAATTGAAGATTGAAGCCATAGTCACACAGCTGCTGCCACAGGCGCCTGCATGAATGAAGGTGTTTGCCCCTGTTCCTGTTGCCCCTACAGGAGTAATCGTCCTAGTGATTGGACGCAGCTATTTCTGTATCCCCTGTATTTCTACAGTTGCATAAGTTAAAAAAAAAGAAAACATCAATCACCTTTCCCTGCAGCTGTCTCTGATACAACACCATCAAGGATCCAGACTCAGCCTGGTTCACTCTCTGCAGCTTAATGTAATCAAAATAAATCGTTGACTATTTCACAAACACAGAGGACAGGATGGTTTTCCTCATTTAGATTATTATTAATGTGGAGTTTTACTGCAGCGCTGCACCTTTCTGAGTTGTCAGACTATGCCTCCTGCTGGCCGCCTCTGTTAATGACAATTCATTGAAACGATTCGTCACAAAATGGCCAACGATTCCGCAGAAAATGTCTAAATGTTTATATTAATGATTCGTTTGATGAATTTGAAGTGAAAGGTCGTTTCCAAGTGTTTACTGTGGAGTTTTGATTGGCTGGAGTTTGTTAAGGTGGCCTGCCTTTTCCTTGTGGTTCATCGAGTTCATTTCAATATATGTAACATCAACTTGGACGACATCGCCCCCTTGTGGTCTGATTTAAAATAGCAACAGCAAATTTGATATCAAATATATGCAAATCCCTTGTAACTAGTAAGTAAGAAAATTATATAATATATAATATAATATTATATTAAATTAAGACAATAAGTAAGAAAAATAATTAAATTAAATTAAGACAACCAAGCGTTATCACCTCGTCTAAAATAGTATAAACTTAAAAAAACAAAGGGCATGATTAACATTGGACAGTCATAAAAATAACAAATGACAAATAGCTACCGACTTTTAAAAACGGGTGCATCAATCTAGAGAAAAGTGGTAATTAACTTTGGGGTTTGACAAATATGAAAAATTGGAGGACTTCGTTTAATCAGATAAGACAAAAAGTACAGTTTGAAAGAGAGGAATAATACTTGGGAAGAAAAGACCCAAATATACGATGATTTAAAGTATTAGCAGTAGTAATAACTTTTGTTTTCAGTTTAAACGTATACGTGTCCTATAGAACAAGACATGTAAAAAGTCCTGCTCGCCGTGGTCGCGTTGTCCATCACGAGATCTCGTCGCATCCAGCGGTACTTTTCTCGCAGCAACACCAACATGTCACCAAAGATGGCGATTTGCTGAGCGCTCATGGATACACACATTTCTCGGCTAGTTGCTATCTTGTCCGAAACGCTAACTGCACTAACAAATTAACGGTTCGTCTGGGAACATTTATATTTTTCCCTCTGGAAGCACATCCGACACAGCGTCAGCCGTCGTCATGCAGATCACTCTGAAGACACTGCAGCAGCAGACGATTCAAATAGAGATAGACCCCGAACAAACGGTAAGTGGCTCTGAGCTAGCCTAGCCTAGCATAGCCAGCTAACTTTATTGCTAAACAGTACGAGTCGGAGGAGCTGTGTTTTCACACCTCTAAACAGATCAGTTCGATTTGACACAGTCTTCACCTAAAGTGTAGTCAGTAAAAATATAATTTATAAACACTAGTTTCACGTGAAAAGAGATGTAGGCGAAAGCTCTTACTAGCAACGTTAGCCTGACAGAGTCAATTAGCCCCTTTATAAAGTCATGGCTATAAGCGGATTTGTCATTTTCCTCAAGTTATTGGCGCAGTTATTTTTTCACTGATGTCCCATATTTGCCTCTTATTTAATAACACAGTCCAAGCTGCATTTTAAATAAAGTATATCATCTTAAAACTATCCGGATCCTAGCGCAAATGCTAACGCGTATATCAAATATAATGAACATTACGTTCTGTTTGATAGCAAGTTCAGATATTCATAATAATCCAACACGAACATTAGTGAATTGTGAATTATTTACACTTTTTAAGGCATATTTCTTTTTATATGTACTTTTAGGTAGCATTGCATTTTCTTATTTTGTCAAAGTTAGCACTGTCATGCTGCGTAAAACTACAGAGGGATGCATCCATTTATAAAAAGAAATTGTAACAAATTGTGATGACATTTTATTAATTACAACATTAACTACAAAATAGGATCTTTTCTAACATAACAGCGTTGTGTTTAATAATTAACTAAAAAAACATTTTTTGAACAAATGCCAACTTAAGAATTCAGCTTAATTTACTTTAAATAAATTATACTATATATAGCAATGTTTTGAGGTTTGAAAGTAAAATAAATATGTATGAAATGTGTTCTGCTGTTTCTCCTCATTATCAGGTGAAGGCTTTGAAAGAGAAGATAGAGGCGGAACGAGGCAAAGACAACTTTCCAGTATCTGGGCAGAAACTGATATATGCTGGAAAAATTCTGCAAGATGACACTCTCATTAAGGATTATAAAATTGAAGAGAAAAAATTTGTGGTTGTGATGGTTTCTAAGGTGAGTGCAGTCCAAGACCAAATCAACTGAGTTGTTACTTAGAACATTTTATTTTCGAGTTTTCATCGCAACGTTCTTCGACGTACTTGCTTTATTTAGGAAGCTTACGTAACGAGATATATTGTCAATGACCTAGTTTAGAGTTAGCAACACATGCTACTACTTGATACTGCTGTTGATCGGTCTGACTTCATCTCAATAAACCTGTTCAAAGCCTAAGGCTGCAGCTGCTTCCGCGGCGCCCCCTGTCTCCGAAGCGCCCAAACCTCCTGCACAGGACAACGGTTCTACGTCGACAGCTGTTCCTGCCACAACCCCTGCCCCGGCTCCTGCCCCTGCACCAGCCCTCGCCCCAACCCCAGCAGCTGCCCCAAATCCCCCAGAGGAGGCCAAAGAGGAGCCAAGTGCCCCAACCACAGAACCACAACAACCAGCCAGGTAGAACAGGTGGACTTCAGTGTGTGTGTGTGTGTGTTGTTTGGAGTTGCAGTGATGAATCAGTAATTAGGTTTGTGACTGATTAGAATGACTCAAATGATTAATTACTCTAATCCCAGTAACTACTCAATAATCAACTGAATTAACAGAGTCTTCTTGTTAATTAAAAACTTGGTAATTACTCACAGGTTATCATAGTTTTATGAAAAAGCCATATTTGACATGCCATGCAAACTGCATTTTATATTTATTTTAGTTGACTGAATCAGCGTGTAATTTAGTCTACAATTATTAATATCCTAATATAAAATTTGTAATCAGCGTGTAACAGTAGACATGAGACAGAAGCTTTTTATTTTAACAACTTTCTTTTTTTCTACATATATTTCACAGCTCCAGTGGTCAGGGCTTGGACGCCTCCTCAGCACTGGGTATGTAACAAATGGGTCTGTGGTCCCTAAAATAATGCAATAGTTTCCCTGATTGTTGTCAAATCATACAGAGCCAGACCAGTGGTAGCATTAGCATTAGCCTAACCCTGACCCTGCACAGGTCACAGGTTCAAATGGCCGCACCAGTCGATGTATGTGCTGTCAGTCAGTGACCCAACCAGCTGTGGTGACATGGATATGTTGTCTATATTTAGACTGTGACAAATGTACGCCATTCTTTATTGTTGTGCTACAAAGACAGGGGGGGGGGGGGGCATCCCACTGGGTCAACGTGGGGTCTCAGAGGCTGTACTTGGATTTCACTTATTTTTAAATATATCTTAAATGTTCTTCAAAAAAATGCATTTTCACACTACAACTGTTGACATCACTGAAGCAGCGTTTCTGCCCATCAGCCACTGACTCTGACTAACTCTGCTGGTTTGTAGTGACTGGAGCCGAGTACGAGGCCATGTTGACGGAGATCATGTCCATGGGCTACGAACGGGAGCGAGTGGTGGCAGCGCTAAGAGCCAGTTTCAACAACCCACACAGAGCCGTGGAGTACCTGCTCACCGTACGTCGAACAAGTACACTACTGCAGTAAACGAATACACCTGCCTTCAAGTACTGCAGAGTACTATGAATTCACCAAACAAGTCCAGAAACAGAATGTTTTCTTGTCTAACTTTAGCAGGTCACGTCAGTACTGTACCTACTTTGAACAAATGATAGAAGCCACTGTTAAATTACTTAAATCATTTAACCAAAAATGTTCTCTGTTGAAGTCTGTTTCATTTTGGATATGGAGTGACACTGCTGTTGAGCCAGGCTCATGAATCTAAATAAAGGAAAACCATGTATTTTGGTTTTCCAGGGTATCCCCAGCAGCCCGGTGCAGGAGAGTAATCCACCGGCACCAGCCCCCGGATCTGGATCTGGACCTGGACCCACAGAATCACCTTCTCTAGCAGAGGGTGAGGAACGCGGCCCACTTTAATTCAAGAACATCTGCAGTCAGGGTTCAGTGGAGGGCGAGAGGGCGAGCGAGGATGTTTACAACTCTCTGACTTGACTCTCTGTTCACACGTCAACACATTCATGGTTACATTTGTTCGTCACTAGGAGACAACCCACTTGCGTTCTTGCGGACCCAACCCCAGTTCCTGCACATGAGACAGGCCATTCAGCAGAACCGAGCTCTACTACCAGCTCTACTGCAGCAACTAGGCAGTGAAAATCCTCAACTTCTACAGGTAACACACTCAGCCATGAAGCACCACATGTCAGCTGTTCAGAGATTGACATTTAACGCAGATAAAACAGCACGGCTAAGGTCGTAATCACATGGTACGTGCGAACAAGTCGAATCAACGCTAGGAAAAAAAAAACAACTCGTGATCGAGTCTGACCTTGGTATCTGTGAGGCTTGGGGTCGGGTTTCAAGTCGTGGTCCTTGCAGTCAGAGCCTTGGGCTGCCACAGGTCTCCGTCTTGTTGACACCACAGCCTGAGGTCAAAAGGTCAGAAGCTGTTAGTCCCAATTTTAGTAAGATGAAGTATGTAACAGCATTGTGTGTTTACTACGCTGACAGTTTTACTACAATTAAATTGAAATTTAAAAGAAATCCTATAGAATCGCAGGACATTGCAATATATGTTGATTTTTCAAACATCTGTAAAATATACGTTAAATGTCAGTTACATATTCAATTTTAAAATTTGCAATCATTTCAGTAAATCGTCTCCTGTTATTATTTCATTTTCATCATAA